GTGCTGGGGGCGGGCCCCCCCGGGGGGGGCGTGTGGGGGGGGGGGGGGGGGGGGGGGGGGGGTGGCAGCCATTACTCCTGGCCCTTCCCATGCCTCATCAGCCACTCTCCTGAGAGCTGCCAGCTCCTGGCGGGTCTCTCTGCTCCCCTGGGGTTTCCTCAGCTCAGGAAACCCCCCTGTACGCTATGATCTGCCACTCCACTGCGGGACACGCCTGCACCAGAGCTGATTGTCTCTGCGAGTTTGTTAATTTTCACTTCCAATATAGGAAAAACAGGTCTCCAGATTCTACCCTCGCTCTCCTGCTCCCCTGGGGTTTCCTCAGCTCAGGAAACCCCCCTGTACGCTATGATCTGCCACTCCACTGCGGGACACGCCTGCACCAGAGCTGATTGTCTCTGCGAGTTTGTTAATTTTCACTTCCAATATAGGAAAAACAGGTCTCCAGATTCTACCCTCGCTCTCTAATTTTCTCTGTTCTGGAGCTCCCATCCCATCTTAGGTGGGTTATCCAAGTGGAGATGCAAGATAGCATGCCTTTTTTTAGATCTCTTCAAAAATGTTTTGCAGGATTCTCATTTTCCCTCTACCAGCATAGGCATCACTAGGTTTCTTCCAGGTTTTAGCATAATTAAGGCCTTGGAGGACCCAATCTTCATGTCATAAAGATCAGAGAGAAAGAAAGAAAAAACACAGAAAGACCCACTTACTTTTTGGGGGACATTTGCAGAAGAGGCAGACATTTTATTTCATTATTTAGAAGGAATATCTAGCACTTACCATGCTGCTAAGACAGAAAATGGTCCCTACTGTACATACAAAGAACTAGCTGCTGAGCTGATTAAAACTGCTGGAGAAAAAGTGGGCCACAGATAGAGCACATGAAATCTGGGACTCAGGATATTAGTGGGTGGCCAGATTTCAACCACTCCTGAGGAGAAAAGGGAGGAAGATCTCCCTGCAAGCTGTGCAGAAGGGACTAGGGAAGAAAAAGAGGAGGGAAGAAGTATCATTGCATGGAGAAGACTTGAGGTGAAGAAACCATCACTACGTAGAGGTCCCTCTGCCTTACCCGGTGTCCTCCTGCTCACCACTGCGATTCCCACAGCTTTGAGACAAGGCTGTGGCGGTCAGTTTTCATTACATATTAAATTGACTAATCAATTACTTAAGAGATTAGGTGACTCAATGCAAATGATTATGGACCTCAGCATGATAACATGGCGACAACATTGCCTTTAACTACCTTTTTATTTGCTCTTTTTGTTATCTGCCCCTCAGTGGCTCGATCCAGTGTGTACAGAGCCCATGGGCTTCTCCTTCACACCCACACCCTGTTTTATGCCTCGTTACTTTTTGTGTCCCTCCTTTCTACTACTTCTGCTGCAACTTCACCCAGCAGGGACCATATGACTTCAAATACTTGCACACAGAGACATCCTTGCTTTTACTATTTCATTTCATCCAGCTGGGACTTCTGGATCCCATTCCTATTATCTAGGGAATGAAACTTTTGCAGCCAAGAGGGATTTTTACAAGTCCATTAAAATATTTCCCTTTAGAGACCACTCCAGGGAACGCAGACGTTAGTGAATCATGCTGTATTTTCACTTCTTTCATTCTGGATGCTGCATTTCTGCAGGCATCTAAGGTATTAGTGGGATCACGCTCAAAGTGTGACCATCTGCTTTTGGAAATGAGTTAATGAAGCAGCCGTGCTTTGAGCTAGAAAGGCTTATTTTGGTCCCGTTTGTAGAATTGGCCTATTCTGCTGTTCATACTGCACATGAAATAGTCTCTGAGCAGAAGTGAGAGGAACCAAAGCCTGTCTGACACTGACCATGCCAATTCCTTTAAAGGAAGGATCCAGTTGTGGGGACACCCTATTGCCGTTGACTGGGCAGAACCAGAAGTGGAGGTGGATGAAGACACCATGTTGTCGGTAAAAATTCTCTATGTGAGGAACCTCATGCTCTCAACCACTGAAGAGACCATAGAAAAGGAGTTCAACAACATCAAACCAGGTAGGAACCCATTGACATGCTAGCTCCTAAATAAGTACTGCTACTGCAAATGGAAATATTTCTCCATTCATACAATGCCAAAGAAAGAAATAAAAATAACTGTTTTTCCTATGTAAAATGTTCATGTGTAATGCCACAAAAATCATCATTAGGCTAAAGGCTCCCACCCAACATGCACATCATGTCATCCGTTCAGGGCTGCTTAATTTCCAGCTAACAACACTACTAACCTTTTTAGGATGGTTGGCAACTGGAAGAGATCCAAAATGCTGCATGGGGATGCCTGTGTCATAAGAATTATTTTGAATCATTTTGGTCTTTCTTAAAAAGAGAGAGTTGATGAAATAGCTGGGTGATTTCAGCATTCTTCTTCTATGGCAAGGGATGATGATATAAATAGAGTGATGTAATACAAATGTTTTTTATCTAATCTATCTAAATTTTGAATTCTATCATTTTCATACAAAAATCCTCACAGTCTTCTGTAAGTTTGTGAATAAGCAGTGCTTAGCATTTAACACAGAATATGACAGTATTCCTTCATGGCATATATTGCATCCACTTATGGTGACATTTTTCAAAAAGCAAGTAGATTTGTTGGGAATAAAAATGCTGCTGGCTTTCAAAGGAGATTTTACTTCTGAGTTGCTCCAGCTTTAGGAAATTCCACCCAAAAACAACAAAGTAAAAATAACCCATTTCTGCAGGTCTCCAAGCCACACAGTCCATTAGGCATTAGTAACTTATGCTTGGCAATGTGAAATCGCCTTTCATCTCGTTCCTATTAACTTCCTTCTATTAATTTTTTAAAATACACTACAGAGCTTCATTTTTCCTTCACTAACTTTTCATTTCTGCTCTATACATTTCTTCTTCTGTACTAGGCTGCAATGCAAAGGTCTTTACGAGGCTTCCTTATGAGTCTTTTCTGTCCCTCTAACGTTTCTGGCTAATACTTTTAGCCACCATCAAGCTGTTAGAGATCCCATTTTACCCCTGAGTTAAATATGTATCATCCCACCCTCTTAACTGTTTCCTTGTTTTATTTACCCAGTTTTGCTCCTGAACGTTGAACTGCTCAAACTCCCCAGAAACACATTTATGCCCCTTTGACACTTTGGTAACAGTCATCTGCTTTGCTCCTAAGACAAGTTTTCTAGCACAACAACAGAAGATCTGTATCATCTTTAATTTTCACTTTATTGTTTTACTTCTCATGCTCGAAATTATATATTTTTTTAAATGGACCGCTTTATTTATTGTGGATAAAATCAAGAATGCCTTTTTTAAAGTTGTGCCATGCTTTCAAAAAAATGCACATCAGAGCAGCAAAACCTGAGCTTTGGGGAGAGCAAATGCAGTTTAAGTTATAGTGAGCTTACAATCAAAAAAGTCAGCAAGGATCTGAAATGATTCACTTCCCCCCCCTTGGTTATCCGCCTTATTCATTTCAGTACTGCTTGCCTGAAGTGTGCATTTGATCTAGGGCATTAAGAAGCTGTTTTGACAATAACAAGTCATCCAATAAAAAATGATCTTAACCAAAGGAGTTATGACCCAGAGGTCCCCATGACAGAGCAATTACCACATTGCTACAGGGTCCATAGACACTACCAAGAATGCTGCTTATGCATTTCAAGTTGTAATATAGTACAAGTATCACCCCTTAAATCTGTGCCAAATTCAGTGCGGGATGACTTCTATAGAGATCTGCATTACTTGTTTCACTGAAAAGCCCTACCCTTGCTACCTAGAGATTTTTGCAAAAATCCTCATCCCTGGCAAAGTTTCCAGCAGGAAGGTCGTGCTCTCCAAGTGTACAGAAGGGGACAATATTTCCCCCCTAAACATCACATGGACGGTCTCTCCATGGAGATGACCTGAGGGTGGGTATCACATTGCTCTGCCCCAGCAGGGGCAGAAGCAGGGAAAAGCAAGATTTTTGGCTCGAGCAAAGATCAGTAACACAGAGCACTCTCAAGGAGGCAGAAGGGGGATTTTCAAAACACAGAGAGTTCATTAAAGCCTTGACTTGCAAACAAGGCATCAGCATATAACTCTCTTAACTTCAGGCTTAGAAAATCACCCTCCGATCCCAGAAGGACACAAAGTGCTACTTACCGTTCCGGTGTCATTTTGAAGATGTGCAGGCTGCTCAGGTTATAGGCTGGGACAGGCTTCATTTAGTCTCCTGGAGGTCCTAATGACTCCCCCTGAACTCTAAAGAAATGTATTTTCTCCTGCAGTTATTTAAGTAAGTGGGTTTTGTGGCAGTATGAGCTTTCCCTGCACACCTGCTCAGCTTTAAAGGGTAAGAAGCCAACAGAAGAGTCATTCAGCATCCCTTAGCCATATTTCCAAAGAATATCTTTGGGGGTGTTACAGTCTCAGTGGCTAGGCTGTTTGCTGATGTGCTTCCCAACCCACAGGAGTGGGGAAGATGAAAAATTAGAGAAGAAAAGGTAGATGTCTAGAGCTTGTGACCTTGGGGAATAGAACCAGTGTGGTTATTTTGGAGACAAAATTATTAGTGCTGAGTATCTTGGTGCCAAGAAGTTCCTAGCAGCAAAACAACTGACAAGGGAAAGCTGTAGAGTATGGATATAGATGAGAAGAACAAGAAGCCATTTACGTTTTAATTTTTGTGGGTAATCACAAAGATGTGGAAAGATTCAGGCTGGAGGCACCAGGGTGGGGGTCTCCATCCCAACGCCGCCCCCAGCAGGGCCAACACCACAGCTGCAGCAGGCTGATTGGGACCATGTTCAGGCGAATTGGGGCATCCCTGGGACGGGGATCCCCCACCACCTGGGGCCCCGTCCCAGGGATGACCCACTCACATGGGAAAGGCTGTTTCTTAGGGCCAGACCTGCTGCCCCATTGGTCCCAGCCCATCCCCATGCTTGGGGCTGCTCTGTCCCAGACAGGACTTGGTGTTTGTTCTTGCTGAACGTCCTGAGTTGATGGTTGAGAGAAGAGCCTCCTTGTTTTACAGCAGAAGCATAAGCTTTCCTGAAGCTGCCTCTGGGTAGCATGTATGTTGCGCATACAAAACCATGGAGATGGCAACCACACGGTGACATTACCTGTAGCTCACCAAATCCTGGGCTTTTGTGTGTCCTGCTCAGCCATCCAGATCTCGGTGGTCTGTAACGGAAGGGAGACACAAGACCAAAGGTAGCGTCCAACAGAGCATTTTGCACAGGAGAAAACCACTCCAGTGTAATGGGAAACTTACTGGTGTCTGACTTCAAGTATTTCTAGCTTTCCTTGAAATACTACAGCCTTTATATTTTTTTTTCCCATGGTATATACATCCTAAGAGGTAAGAAGACACTGTCCTCTTGCTCTTTTACCATTGGTCAGCCTTTGCTCTCCAAGGGCTCATAACCCAACACAGTTGCTCTTTCAAATCTGTATTTTCCAACTAATACCCACTTGCAACTAATATTCCAACATTTTCTGCAGGTGCAGTAGAGAGAGTAAAGAAAATTAGAGACTATGCCTTTGTGCACTTCAATAAAAGAGAAGATGCAGTTGAAGCTATGAAAGCCTTGAATGGGAAGGTAAAGCTGCTGTAAATGCTAATTCGTGGGGCTTATATGCAGTACATCATACGCAGCTGAAACAAAGCTGCCTGGTTTATTAGCTACAAAAACTTCCTGAAGGTATCAGCCCTATTTTCTCTTTGCAGGCTGCTTTTATACTCCTGAATTTGTTTTTCAGCCACCCTGATGTACACAAACTGTTCATTTTGGCTTCTTGCTCCTTGCATTTGTGCTATATGTTTGTCCAGCTCAGACTGTAGTTCACCCCTCCAAAAAAAAAAAAAAAGCAGAGTAAAGCTGAAATGAGGACTAGCAAGTGAGGGGTTATGGTTCCCTTGGCTCACACTCACATCCTTGTTCCACGTCTGCCAACAAAAACACTGGCAGGGCAGCATGTGAATGGCAAACCGGGAGAAACAAGGTCAACCCAAAACATCTGCTCCAAATTCAGATGTGGATTTGCAAGGAGGTGCTGTATTTAGTACTTCTTGTGTTGCATGTAATTCACGGCGCTGTAATACAAGAGCTGTTCCCAAAGAGATGTTAACCCCACTCCTATTTTTAGTGCTACAGCTATTCTCCATAGGAGCACGTATAATCTCAGTGACTTACATGCTGTTTTTCAGGGAAGCAAAGCCTTTTGAAGGCTTCACAACTGTGCTAATTTGGTTAAGGAACCTCTCCTGGCAGGGATCAGGGCGGGGTGCTCTGAACACATTAAGCCTTCATCCGGCCAGTGCCTTCTTCCACCCATGGGAGAGACATTTTGGCTTTTCTGGGTGGTTTTCTCTACCTTCCCATCCCGTTAGCAAACCATGTGGGGAAAATGCCTCCCTAGGCAGCATAATCCCCATGCATTTTGGAGACTTATGCTTGTGCTTCTCCCATGCTCTCTCCCCACCACCCTGGCGTGAAGGTGCTAGATGGGTCCCCGATCGAGGTGACGTTAGCCAAACCCGTCGACAAAGACAGCTACGTCAGATACACCCGGGGCACAGGTGGCAGAGGTACCATGCTGCAAGGAGAATACACCTACGCCTTCGGACACGTGTATGACCCCGCCACCACCTACCTGGGTGCCCCGGTTTTCTACGCACCCCAACTACCCCCATCCTCCACTTCCCCACCACCAAGGGGCTCAGCAACAGGAGCATCATCCGGCCCCCATCCATCCGAGGTAACTCCTGTCACGCCGATACTCAGCTTTATCAAAATAACTCCTGCGGGGCTTGGGTGGCTGCTCCCTAGACTCATGTCAAGGGCATTGGCTTTGCCCTGGATGCTGGACCCTTTTCAGAGAGCAATGAAAAACACAGGTTTTAGGCTCTGTCCTTCCCAAAGCTGTAGCAATCTTCCAGCAGACTAAGCAGGGCATGAAAAAAATAACCATTTCCCAGAGCAAGCCTGAAACAGCTTCCAGATTGCCCTACGTCCAGCATAAAGAAACCACAAATCCTCCTGGTTTTGCCCCAGCAGGAAAGACCAAATAAAACAATTTTGCTTCCCCTCTTCAGAGCCAACTCCCTCAACCAGCCACCAGCACAGCTCTCTGCTGTGTTTCCTCTTTGCCTTGAAGGTCACAGGGAAAGTTTTACCAGTCTTGGTGTTTTCTGACCCAAAGCCACGGCATTTCCCAGGGAGGTCACATTGCCCTGATGCAGGGTGGGGAAACAGCACTGAAATCAAGAAAGCCATTAATTGTGTGCTCTGGGAAATGGACTCCTTTTTTGGGGGATCATTAACCTAATAATAAGCAGAGAGTATTTCTGAAAACAGAGAGTATTTCTGAAAGCTGCTGAGGCTCTACCTTTGATGCTGGGTGACCACACCTGGCACCAAATCAAATCCCCATGCTCAGGTACCCCCCTACTAAATATCTTTGCAGGCATCGTTTGGTAAGTGCAGAAGTAAGCTTGGGGGCTAGCAAAAAAAAAAAAAAAATCTGCCCATTTGATCTTCCTTCCAAAGACGACACTTGTGGCAGTCAGCTTGTGTCCCCAAGCCCGTGGCCAGGTCACACGGAAGGCTGGGACCCCGTGGGGCACCCCAGTAGGGCTGGTAAGGACCGCACCAGACAGTTTTTCCCCCTTCCCAAAGAATGGGACAGGGGAGCAGGAATTTCCCCTGCTGCCCCCCATGTTTTTGCCCACACAGGTGAGACCAGCTTCTATGAAGTTTGCATTGGGAAAGGGGCAGATGTGATAACCCACCAGCCCTCTCTTGCCTTGCAGTCTCCCCAGACTCCCAAGCAAGGCTCCCCGAGCAAAAAAGGAAGAGTAATAGGGGAGGAAAAAAAGGAATTTGGTTCATATAAGCAAGGGATTGTATAAACTCTGAATTCTTCAAGAAAGTGAAATTACACTGGTGGGTAGCAAATAATACCAGCTGTCCCCTCTCTGCCTTTCAACTACAAATCCAGTTAGAAAGGTGTCACAAAGTCAAAACTGACCAGCGAAAATGGAAACTGGGTCAGAAAGAAGCAGGGCTTCCCCCGAAAAATCTCACCCATCCAGGCATACGAGCCCAAAAAGAAAGGATGTCAATGCCAAGCCTGGGTTATCCCAGCAACAGGCTACGGGGGGCTTCTGCCCATCTTCTTCCCAAACCTGGCAAATGGGGCTAACTTTTCAATTTCAGCAAGAATCAGGGTAATTTTTCCGGTGATTTGATTCAGTTTAATGCCTTCTTACATTCCTAGAAATTTACATGAATGTACCTGTAGGGGCTGCGGGAGTTAGAGGACTGGGAGGTCGTGGCTACCTGGCGTACACGGGCCTGGGGCGCGGATACCAGCTCAAAGGAGAAAAGAGGGGAGAGGATAAACTCTACGACCTCTTGCCAGGAATGGAGCTCACGCCGATGAACCACGTCACGCTAAAGCCCCAAGGGATCAAACTCGCTCCTCAGGTACGTGCGTGAAAAAGGGAGTCAATATCCTGGCCAGAGGTTGTCTTTGCCCAAAATGCTTTTGGGAAAATGGCCCACTGCTTGAATCTGCGCTGGGGACCGATAACTAAATCCATTCTTGCATCTCAAAAGACATTAAAATAAATAAAATACCGTTAGTTGCATCTTGCAATACCCACCTGCCTTGCTGGAGAATGGTGTACGCTCTCCCTTGGAGAAGAGTTTTCATAAACACCCATGGGTGTGAGATGAAATCCAGCTATGGCTGTTGCTCCACAAAAGCACTGAGGGTAAATAAATTCTCACCCACAATGGGTTTGGTAAAAAGGATGCATCGCTTGGGGCTTCACCAAGGAATGAATGCGCATATATAGAAAAATAACGTACATTTTAAAATCATTTGTAGAGAAAGAGGTGTTGACTGCCTGCACAACCCAGCCCAGCGCAGAAACTCTGGTTGCTCAAGGAGGCTGAGGAGAACAAACCCAGAACATATTCTCCGAGTTTCTGAGGGTCCGGCTCTTATGGCAACTCCTTTCCCCTTACATCATCTAAAGCAACATGAGAAACTAACTTCACCTTGAATTTTGAAGCACAGCTTTGCCTATTAACACTTCAATTGCTACAGCATCCAGTTTGTCAAAGTCTATGAAAACATCCTTTTCTCCCCCAGAAAACTGGAAAGTGGGAGGTTTTTCCCCCTGCAAAATTTCATAGTCCCCTTACTCTATTTTATCAGCATATAAGAGGGGTGAAATAGCCTGAGTGGTGCTGCACTGCCTTAGGGCAGGTGAAATTCATTTTTTCTTCTTCCCATGCATGCCAAACCCCCACTGCATGTATTTCAAATAGTGCAGTAACACCACTGGCCACGTGCAACATTAGTTTTTTGGGGCCCATTTTCCCAGCAGCTGAGCTCCCTAATCCCGCCACTGCTACTACTTCACAACAGCAGGTCTTAAACAGCTACAGCTTGCTTCACGACAGCCTCATTAATAGGACAGCCTCATTAATACCTGCCAACTTGGTCAGCCTCTCCCGTCTGCTGCAATGAGATGATTTCAACAGCATCTTTGAATGATGGATTTCGTTCCCGCTGCCTTGCTGGGATGCTCAGTGTTAATAAGTAGATCTGGCTTACTGAAGATTTAAATGTTGATGTAACATTATAAAACTGACATCCATACAAAGGAGTTGGGACAGCAAGGAACAAGTGTTGCCATAGTCAAGAAATGTAATGAACTAGTTTATTTACACTACAAAGTGCTAAACTTCAGTTGGAGCTACAATTACAAAATTAAAAGCAGCACTGACATTTAAATTTTACATTTTAATGTTAAATAAAATTAAGTGTAAATTTTCTATAAGGTAGACCACAGAAAAACACAGGTTGGAGGCACCCGGGGGTCTCTGGTCCAACCCAGCTGGCAGCATAGCCAATGTCGCAAAGCCCCAAGACCCAAAATCTTCTCAGATGAGTGTCAGCTGTGGTGGAGCTACTTGAAAAAAATAACTTGTCTGAGCACCACTCACAGGGAGGCACGGGAACACCACGCTGTGTTCAAACCCATTTGGGACAGCACATACTCAGTGGGTTAAAAAAAAGAAATACAAAGCCAATGCAAGAGCGTTTCTGCACAGCAATTCCCAATTACCATGGAATAAGTTGTGCTAAGGTTGGGGGCAACATAGTTCAGCATTCCTCTTTCAAACTAGAAGCAGAAATTGCCTACTGAAGCCTGTATAATTAATTGGATGGAAACACAGCCTTTTTTCTTTTTCCTTTTTTTTTTTTTAAAAAAAAGGCTATTTGGACTTTTCATGCACTGTAACCCACTAAGCCAGGGAGGCAACAGAGCAGTGAAGATGAATGCAACCCTAGTGTTTTAGCACTGTTAATAGAAGTGCATAGATAGAGTTTCTGGGGAGAATTCAAAGAAAACCACACCTATAACAGAATAAAACAGCTAATCAGCAAAAGGACAAAGATGTCCAATTATTAAATAATTGGGGTAATAATAAACTTCAGGAATTAAATATATTTTTAAAGTATAAAACATTTAGATGAATCTTATACTTCAAGGTGAATGTAGTATCTTGTCTGCCTTTATTTTATATTTTTTTTGCTAAGCCTTGAGAAAGCTGCCACGACACCCCTGAAAACCCTTTGAAGGGAAGGAAGCTGACCTGACCAGTGCAGGGGCTGGAGCTGGGTGAGAAGGCTACTGCACAGCAATTAACCCAAGCAAAAATCCCTTTTCTCCCTTCTAGATCTTAGAAGAAATCTGCCAGAAAAACAACTGGGGACAGCCTGTTTACCAGCTCCACTCTGCAATTGGCCAAGACCAAAGACAGCTCTTCCTATACAAAATCACCATCCCTGCCCTCGCCAGCCAGAACCCTACTATGTACGTTACTATTTGAGGTTTTCTGGATTTTAGGATTTTTTTCTTTTAAATGGCATTTTATTTAGCATGTCTCCTCAAAATACAATTGCACAGGTCTCTATTTCCTTTTTTTTTAATATATATTAGGGAGAAAAACATCCACAAACTAAAATAGACTGATAGTGATGTCTTCCATGCTTGGTGCTCTCTCTCTGGTGGTGCAAAGACTACAGAAAGCCAGAAATAATCAGGCAAAAGGGTGCTATTTAGCACAAAAAAAAAAAAAAAGCATACGATAGCTCTTGTGGGAAAAAGAAAGCAACTTGAAGGAACATGCTGATAATTCGGCTCCAAATATGATTCTAAACATTTCTGACCTAAAACATTGTTTGCTGTGTATTTTAAAGAAAAACCCAGACTGCAGCACGCTTTCTTTTGGACTGAAAATGCACAACATGCTCTGAAAGGATGTTGTGTCCAAAATGAGATCCAGGGCTGATAAACTCAGCAAAGAAACCAGGCTACTATGAGAAGAATACTTTTGTAATGCATCAGCACAGTAAAATAATGTTTCCATTTGATATGTGGGATGATGCCATCTATGAGTGGATCAAAACATCTTGCAGAAAAGTCCTAGAGAAAAAAAAACAAGCTAACATTTTGCTGTACTCACAGACATCCCTTCACACCACCCAAACTCAGTGCCTATATCGATGAAGCCAAAACCTACGCAGCAGAATACACCCTTCAGACACTGGGGATTCCCATGGAAGGAGCAGAGGTGCCTCCTGCAGCGCCAGCTTTTCCAGGTATGGGAAGGTCTGTACAGCAAAGGTCTCCTGGAAAATTATTTTTCCTGCTGCTTCCTTGCGGGTGTCAAGAATGAACCCATTTTTGGCCACTGAGGGCAGACCTGCTTCCACACGCCTCTACCTTGACTTATGTGTATGACATCTTTATTGCCTATATAGTAATTTATCTCTGTATCAGGACTACCCAAATTACGGTGTACATACCATAGAGCAACTCAGGCTGGAGGCACCAGGGTGGGGGGTCTCTGGTCCAACCCTGCTCCCAGCTGGGTCAATGCCACAGATACAGCAGGTTGCTTGGGGCTGCGTCCAGGCGAGTTGGGGCAGTGTCCAAGAATGGGGATCCCCCACTACTCAGTGCCCCATCCCAGGTAGACACCTCCCCTCCACTCCTTCCAGTTTGTGGATGCCTCCCTTCAACTGGGAGCCCCAGACAGGATGCAGGATCCAGAACTGGAGTGCCCAGTGCCACATCTGGGATGAGTCCCCTCCCTGGACCTGCTGGCTGCGGTCTGGCCAATGCCACCCAGGATGCAGTAGATCTTCCTCATTGCAAAGATGCACAGTTGATTGGGAGGATCCATCCATCCTCCCCCAGCACCCCCAGCTCCTTTTGAACAAACACTTTTTATTTCATCTGCCAAAGCAATGATGCAACTGTGAAAGTTAGGATCTGATCCCAGCTCTCACAACCCCACTGGAAGGTTTTTTTTCCAGTTTGGGAATTCATACTCAACAACTCTTGCAACTGCCCAAAACAGCTTGGGAAATCATGGAAAACACAGGCTGGGAGCAGGAATCCAGCTTGCAGGCATTACATTTACTGCGCTCTCCAGCATGATGGTTATTCTGATGTAGTGGGAGCAACGCATGCCAAAATGCACATAAGGAATGCATTAGTCCGTACTACTGAGTTGTTTGGAGTATCTCAAGGATGGATTTAAAAAAGAAAAAAAAAAAAAAATCTATCCGGCTTCCTGCCACAGGAGTCCACAAAAGCCACAGAAAAATCAATTTGTCTGGGTTTGTGCAGGCTTCCGCAGCATGGAAACCAAATGGGCTCTTTACTGAATCCAGTCTCCACTTACTGCTTAATTATAATCTCTCCTTTTGCTTTCATCCACCCTTATTTATTTGTCTTGGAAACTCAACAAATTGACATACATTAAAGTTTTCACTTGCAACAACACTGGTCCTTGATCAGGGCTTGCTGAAGCCCAGCTCAGCTCAGGCCATGCCCAGGTAGCAGCTCATTTCTCTTATGATGGTGGCAGATATGCTTTAAATGACAGATTTCTCAATTCCTAGTCAAAATGTTGCACCTCGCTTTGCTGATGCAAAGAAAATACTTTGAGCAGCCACAATACTCAAATTATAGCAAATTTCTCATGTTTTCCCCTAAGGTAACATCTTCAACAAGACAATGTGCTGTCAGTTTTGCCCAATATCTCCATTCCCCCCACTGAGAGGACCTCAGCTCTGACTGACCTTGAGTTGATCCCATTGCCCAGCTGGTCGGTCAGAGATTTTGGACCCTGGGAGATGTAGTTTGGCAGCAGAGCCTGGTCCAGCAGAGCCAATGGGTACCCCAGCTGCTCTCCCCAAATTTGGGCTTTGTCTTAATTCTTGATTCTTTCACAACAAAATATTGTGGTCTGATCGACAAGCTGCTATACCCTGCTTTCAGAAAAACCAACCCCAAACAATGTTTGTTTTCCCAGTGATTCATTTTAAATCAGCAAAGCTAACATTTTCCCATGGAAAATTTTGAAGCGTTGAAACCACATTTTCCATTAGAAACTGATAGGAAAAAAAAATCCAGTTTACTAAATATTTTCTCCCTGATATTGCATAGAGGGAGTTTCCCTCCTCTCTAATGTGGCTGTCCTGAATTGCATGTATTTTGACTATGAAGGGTATATCAGAGCCATATTTTCTCTATGAAACCTGCCCAGATTTCCCCTATATTAACTCATTTTCTTGCCCTCCTTACGTCATGCATGGGAGGGCATGTACAGAGCACCATTAACACTCTCTTAGCTCAGAAATAATCAAAGCCTAAGGAAAAAATACTCAACAGAGAGGGGCATTTTTCAAGCAGTGTGTTTAACAAATAATAGGCGAGACAATGCATTAATTTCCCAGCTTTTTTTAATCACCTTTAACATGGAGAAAAAACATGCCAGAAATGACCTGTTTAATTTAACTAGATTATTCCCATTAACAAACTCATTGCTCCCTATGTCATTCCCATCGATAGCAAAGTCTTCCCATCAAAAACTATTAGGTGATGTTGAGTTTTGAACATCTTTTCATTAATCTGCATTTTTACCCTCCTTTTCCCTGCAGGTTATACCATTGCTAACGCAGCTGCCACTGTCACAGCTACTCAGCTCAAACAAGCAGTGACTATGGGACAAGATTTAGCGACATACGCAGCCTACGAAGCCTACCCTGCCTTCGCAGTTGCTGCACGCAGCGATGGCTATGGAGCATTTTAATCCTGTCTTTAATCAAGTTCCCTTAAATCGAGCACAGGCAGGAAAAAAATCTCAGTCTGGTAATTCTTACACCCTCATGATTTTAAACTAATCTGTCGCCTAAAGTTAGAATTTAGTCGGAGTTTCATTCTTGTAGTTCTTTAGTTTCATAAGAGGGTATTAGGGGGGAAAAGCAGAAATTAAAAAAAAAATCACTCAAAATCAGATTTTCACACTAGAAAGCAAAATCTCAGCCCAGAAAATGAGTCATTCTCAGGTATGTGTATATACATACATATATTTGTATATATATACACACACCATTGTGTGTGTGTTTACAAGCAACAACCTGTGCTGAAAACAGTTGGTCCCGTGGACATTGTGATGTGGGACCAGGGAAGGATGGTGTGTCTCCAGCAAGCCCCTCCATGCATCAGGAGTTCTCCTCCGTTCACCCCAAAATTTCTCAAGCCAGGCAGAGCAACGGGTAAAATGAAGGGCTGTCCCTTGGCCATGCAGAGGTCTCCAGTTTGCCTCTTACTGCCTCCGAGCATCCTGTGCCACCAGTGCTGTGGGGATGTGTTCAGGCATATCAAGCGGTTTTTTAATTCATTCTGGCACAGCCAAGGAAAAAAGACATTTATCATAAACGTGTCTGCCCAGCCTAACAAGCTAGTTTGCACGCTCTTGAATGTTAATTTGATTTTTAAAGCAGGAGGCAAGCATTCAGTAGAGTTTTCCTTCTTACTTTGCTACTTCCCAGCCATCCCTGCAAGTCACAAAACAGCAAATAGCAGCATATTTTTTCCACTTCCCATCAAACAGCACATTCACTAAAAGACAGGAAAACTTTTAGGACTATTAAGGTTGAGGACCAGAAAAGTGCTATTCATTAGGGCCAATTCTCTACTTAATTAGAGCACAAGAGCTCACAGCCATGGCCCAGTAATAACAGGCACCTCTACAGGAATGAAAGGATATACAAGGAACATTTTTGACAGGATGGAAAGAGCCCTGCCTGGCTATCAACACTGCTTTACACATTAAAGCAAGGCTGCTGGCTGCTGGGATTCTTGCAAATATTAATTTAGTGGAAGAGGATTCACGTCAATAGTAAAGGCATCTCTTGTTTTGGAGAGCACCGGTGTTGGTGTTGTGTTTGAACGCTTTGGGGATGCTGAGAGCATCCTTTGGTTTACAGCAGGAGGGCATTATCCATTTATTTTTGCCATCAGATTGAGGCAGGAGTAACAATGCTCTAGAGATATAGGAGAAACCCAGTGTTAGATAACTACAGCAGACATATTAATCCTATATAATATATCCTATACAGTAACGTACACTAAGAAAACTTGAATCTGCTCAGTCTAGGACCAAAAAAATCCCTTTTTGTGGGAGAATTTACAACCAGGTTGACAATGCCCATCAATTCCAACAGACCTGGCCCCAAATTTTTCATCTGGTCTAGATGATGTAATGTGGCACCATACAAGCCATTTCAAACGGAGCTTTTCCTGTGTATCCCCAAAGCTGTACAAAGCACGATGGTCTGTGACAAGGTGTTGACTACCAGGAGCTAAGTGTTTTCTATTCTCATGCTTCGGCTGATTCGATTTCACTAGGAATGGAACAAAAACACATAAGCTGTATAGTTTGCAGTTCTATTAGACCCTTTCTATTTATAAAGTAGCTCATTAGGGTGATCCTAAAGGTATTACAAGCCCTCTGTGGTTGCTGTTTGGCACGCTTGGCTTCGCAGAAAATGACAAACCTGTTCACAGAGGGCAAAATAACCGAGAGTGTTAGGGGTATTGTGGCTTTATTTTCTTTTCTGTCTATGTCTTTTAAGTCGTGTTTGACTGCCAACGAGTAACATATCCACGCGCATCTCTCTCTCTAAAAGACTACCGTTGGCAGAAAGTGTTTCTCACTTTCCATGTTCAGTAACTTTAGTCTGTTTTTTCAGCTATTTATATAAGTTCAGAAAGATGTCAAAGGGCAAGAAGCAGTATTAAAAAGTGTGTGCATGAAGCACTTATTTTTGTACGCGTAGTACAATATTTGTATAGAGTTTTAACACTTTGAAGTGTAGTGAAAAATCACACTATCCATTTACTGGAGGACAATCATGTATGTTTAAACAGAATGAAGTGAAAATGGCATCTCAATCATCCGTTGCAAGGAAATTATAACTGGGATTAAATTCTGTGAAGCAAGTCTGTAATTCTAGAGTAATTCAAGGACATTAACTGGACTTTGAAATATCATTAAAGCTTTTTAAACCAACATACATGTCTCACTCCTTTTATAGCCCAAGTTTCACCTGAAAGGGTCATCCCATGCATGGCAAATAAGAGCACACTTTGCTTTGTAGGGATTGATTTGAAGTCAGACAGGCAAGGTCACAAGCTGCTCGGCAATGCCAAGAGCATTTTCAACATGCACTTCAGTGACACTTGGCATGCACATGCAGCAGAAAATCAGCAGTATTATATTCCTGCACTTTTAAGTAAAAAATCAAGGGGTTAGGATTTTTTTCCACCACCTCTTTGGCCAATATTTATTTATCTGTCAACGCTGCAGGAATCACTTTTGCTATAAATTTATTACAGAGGTAATACCTTTGTTCCTTACCTGATCCCAAGGGAGATGTCTTGGGGGCGATATTGATAGCAAGACAGCAACATGCAAAAATAAGGGGATAGATGGAGCAATACATGATTTAAGGCTGTGAGGGATTGGTCCCACCTTGGGAAGAACCTGTTGCCAGGTCACCGATAGGTAAATCAGCTACAGCCCTGGTCATTTTAAGAAGATGAGGACCTCCTACTTGGAAGACCATCATAGTTAAATGACTGAGCAATAGCAATTCCTGCTTCCATGCCCAGTACAAGGGGTTCTGTTTTTGCACCTTTCCAGAGTGATCTTGAGCCCAAGAAATGGGGGGGAGATCTGGTACCCTGCTGCTGATAGCACACAGCACTCAACCAAAGGCCTCCCTACCAAGCCAAAAGAGATTTCACCAAAATAGCATGACAATGTAAGTCTGTTCTTACAGAATTACAAAGAGGTCAGCTGTATTCTGGGCTTTAGCAAGAACAGCAGCTCTGCCAGCTCTATTATTTTACCTCATTAGCTTTTCCTGATGTCCTGCTTTCATTTTCTTTGAAATCAGGGCAATGGCAGAATTCACTTTTGTGCTTCAACGTTTCCCCTCTCGGAGAACTGAGATTCCCTCTTTGCTCAGCAGCAGCTGGCTGATCAATTTTGGAGAGCAAGAATGATTTTTCAAGAAATCTCAAACTCACAACCCAATTTAAAAAACATTATTTCCCATTTGTAAAGATGTGGGTTCCCAGTGGATAGCAAGACAAAGCCAAAAACCATGTCCATCCTCCATGAATAAGTCTAAGACATGTTTGAGCCGTAAGTGATGAAAAGATCAATGGCCTAGAAAAAACAGCAGATGGCCACGTTTGGCTGCTTGCAGGGCAGGAGGTACAAAACCTGCATTTTTCTTCTCCCTTCTTCCAGCCAGCCCTTTCCTGGAGGTCTCTACAGCAGAGGGCCTCACATATGAGGTGCAAAGCAAGAATAAAACATGTCCGAGGATTACACAACAGCTCCGCCTTTGGAGCTGGATAGACCCTGAAACATCCCACCAGGAAACTATCATCTCCCATGTCCCACTGAAACCCCCTCTAGAATTCCATGGGACAAGGCCTCCAGTGACTTTCAAGGGGAGCTGCTTTATCTTTGAGCTTGCATGGCTCCCGTTTCCCACTAGCCCAGCTAAATCTCCCATAGACCATCTCATCTCCCCATCACATACCTACCTGGATTTCCCTTTTTTGGGAAAAACATAAACCCTTTGAAGGGTGTCATTCCAGTCAGGGACCACAAATCACTGCTGTTCACTAGCTCCCTGGGAGCAGCCTGGCCCTGATGCTGCTCATGGTACTCTCATGGGATGCTCCTTTCTTTCAAGGGCTGGAAATTATTGTGTCCCCCCAAAACCTTGGTCTCAGCTAAAACTGCAATTCTCAGCTGCCCTTTGTTAAGTGCTGGTGGGGGGCTTAGCCCCTACCCACCAACCCCTCTCCTTCAGGGGGTGCTTGGGGTAGGCTGCTCTCTCCCTGGAGAGATGCCCTGCCACCTCAAACTCCTCTCCATGCCCAGAGACTTGTCCTGGCCTGGCTCCAGCTACCTACAGGAGATGGAGACTGTGCATGTCCAGATTCAGGACTGGTTAAGGGAAACACTGGAAGAGTGATGTTCCTTGGTCCCCAGACCCACCGCATGCATATGCAGCCTCAGTTGTGAAGATGTTAAAAAGCAGATAGCCACTGGTGGACCCATAGATAGGTTGCACACAAACATCCTCTGTGGGATGCATGCAAACAGCACCAGACAACCACAGGTTCACACAGACCCTAAAAGCCTGCATCAAAGCCCAGAGACAGCAGAGGGATTCTCCCCTTTCCCCCCAGTGCCTCGGGTCAGATCCTAATTTAGTATCTCTTCTGCAGCTCCAAATACTGTCAGTAAATTCGGGAGGGATAAGATGTTGTGCAGGAGGAAAGCTGCGGCATGGTCAAGTTTTGCAAAGGAGCTCTGCGAGGCAGCTCAGCCTGCGGACACAAACAAGTTTCCCAAGTTCATACTAGTTTATGTCCCACGATAAAAAAAAAAAAAAAAAAGGCAGAGTTTTGCTCTCCTCCCGAGCACGTACGCAAGGCACAAATAGCTATACATTGAAGGAGAGCAGCCCAAGAGAGGGAAGAGCAACTGTGATGAGTAATGCTATATTTAACAATTGGCAAGTTGCCCAAATTCCTGAAAAATTTTTCTAGGCTTTGGCTCTGTTCAGCGGTAAGCTTGTTCTCGTGTAAAACAGCACTGGCACCTAGTGGCTGCTGGATTCAACCACAGCACCCCGAAACGGTGTGCAGGTAGGAGGGAAGAGCTATTTGTCACTGTATGCCAACAGTAGATGAGAGCCACAATGTTATTAAAGAGCA